CAAAGAACAACCACAATTCAATATAGGTGAGAAGGTATGGCTACTTTGTCACAATATCAATACTACTTGTCTTTTTAACAAGTTGGACTATTGTAGGCTTGGACCTTTTTCTACTAGTCAATAAGTCAATTCTATTGCTTATCAATTATATCTATCACAGTCTATGAAGATCCATCTTGTATTCCATATGTTTCTTTTTGAGCCATATAAGAAAATGAATATCTCAGAAAGAAGAAAAATGCCACCTCTTCTTTTAAAATAGATAATAATCAAGAATTTGAAGTAGAAGAAGTCTTAGATTCAACATGGTGCGAAAATAAGTTAGGATATTTTATTCATTGGCACAAATATGACATTAGTGAACATACATGGAAGCCAACAAAGAATTTTACAAATACAACAAAGAAGGTTGAAGTTTTTCATCAACAACATCTATCAAAATTAAGATGAATAATAGCAAATCTTTGTTATAAAAGAAAGATAGCATTCTAAATTTTATTCTTGTTTAGTTTTTTTTTCTATTTATCATGTTAAAGAGATTGAAAATCAACAAACAGCAAATTCAACTCAAGAATTATTACTTATTGACTTATCAAATGAAATATTAGCATTGTGACAACTTTTAAAATAACATAATTAATATCAAGATTTTCAAGAATAATACATCTTTCCTTGAATAGATGGCAAGATATAATGTGTTTGATATTATAACCTTGGAAGAGACTTCCAATATTGAGTGATTTTATTAGAAATTGAAATGACTCCTTATAATGTTCCAAATATTTTATTTAAAGGAAGTTACAAAGGCTTCAACAACAATCAAATAACAAGGTGATTTTCTTATCTTAATATAGGATACTATCTATGGTTATCATAAGTTGAGGACCTATCAACCATCTTTCAAGATAACAAAGATCAAAATATGTAGCAAATATAATTTGCCGCATCTTCGATTTCTTCAACATATGATGACTATTCCTTGTGGGACTTGTCTCTAAAAAGGGAGGTAATATCACAGAGTCATATTACATGAAGTATTACTTGAGAGTGCACCAGGCATCTAGTTGTAGAAGGTAGAATGGAAATTATAATAACAAAATTTTAATTCTAATAAAATACTAAATAAACTCTAATTAAATCTTAATAATATTAAAAAAACTTTAATCGAATTCAAAAGAAACCTTAAAGAAATTACAAAAGAAACAATAAAAAAATCTGAAAAGGATTGAAAGATAATCAACATTAAATCTTAAAAGAATCCTTAAGAAGTCCTAAAAAATATTAAAATAATGAAAATATTTCTTAAATAAATATCAACCAACTAATTTAATCCTAATTAAAATCCTAATGGACTTCAATCAAATCCTAGACAAATCCTAAACTCTAAACCAAATTTTAAACAAACTTTAAACTCTAAATCAAATCCTAGATAAATCCTAAATCTTAAATCTAATCCTAATCAAATCCTAAACCTTAAACCAAATTCTATACAAATCCCAAATCCTAAACCAAATCCTAACCAAATCCTAGCCAAACTTTAAACTCTAAACCAAATCCTAAAAAAATTTTAAACCAAATCTTAGACAAATTTTAAATCCTAAACCAAACCATAATCAAATCTTAAATCTTTAATCAAATCCTAAATTCTAAATCAAATCCTAACCAAATCCTAAATCCTAAATCAAATCCTAAAGTAGTTTAGAACCTCAATGTCTTTTGATTAAATTATTGATCTTCTTTAAAATTTTATACAATTCTCAATCTCTTAGTTACAAATAAGTATAACAAATTTGAAGATAATTTCATTTATCAAATGAAAGAAAAATCCTAAAATCTCCTTGGATGTTGGCTGGCCTCCTTCTCCAACCTTGATGCTAATCTTCCAATGCTAACATCTTCTTTTTGCACCATTCAATTGATTTCAAAATTCTCATATATGTAGAAAAATAAGTCTACTACTTATATGCACAACTTTCACTCCAATCCAATAATAGATTATAAGAAATCTTAGAAATCATTATTAGACCTAAAATTCTACTTTCAGAGACCTTAATCTACTTAAACCTCAAAAATCCTCAATTCAACCATTAGATCAAGCTAAAATTCACAACACATATTAAGCACAATTTTAAAGATTAATCCAGAAAATTTCACTTGTAGAAAACTTGTCTTGCAAGTTAAAATACATGTCTTGCAAAGTCAACAAATTTTAGAGATCCTATATGATATCACCACATAGCTTCTAGTGAAGAGTATATATGGAGGTAAGAATGAAGCCTTCTTCACTCTTGTCAACACCTTTCTAGTCCTTAGTCTTATTTCAAGACTTTTTAGTCTCCTTGTCTTTGGCAATAGCCATCCTAATTTAATACTATATTATCTTTAAGTGATTTTTTATTCTTTTCGAGTATCACAAGAGTGTATTGATATTTTAATTCTTTGAGGTTCATACCCTTGATACTAAGAGACTCTTTTATTTTACTTACAATATCCTAAAGTTTCTAAAAAGTCAATAAAAGTACTATTTTTACCTTCTAATGGTAGAAATTGTCTCATCTAAATTTCTCAATCATCACTGAGGCCTTAGCCTTACTTGAAGCCATATCTAAAGAAGACATGTATCAAAAAAGATCAAGGTAATGAATCATAAAGATCTCAAAATTAGCAAGAAAGTGTTATAATCTTAGAATTCCAAAATGACCTCTTTGTGAACAATCTAGTATTTTTTTTCTTTCAAAACACTCTCAACTTCACTTTTTAGATTTTTCACAACTCTTGAAAAGAACATAAACATACCAAATCAGATTTATCACTTCTAAATGACTTCTTTGTTCAAAAATCACATCTTCTTACAATCAAAGGCTTTTTAAACATCCTAAGCTTCTGTAAAACCTTGAACTTCAAAGTTAGTCTATTAAAGCCGTAACTTATCAAGAAACCATAATATAAGTGTTCTAATTTTTTTTTTTTTTTTTTTTTTTTATGTATAAAACAAACAATTTATTCAAAATGCACTTAATCACATATAAGTGCACACCTAGATCTAAGGATAAATCTTAATCCAAATGTTACGAGGCTCCAAGTCTTGATATTATAAATAATTAAATAATTAACTCTTCACAACTTCAAAAAAATCACAAATTAATATAAGTGAGACCATAATGTATTGAAAGAAAGAAAAATTTGAAGTATCAACATTTGATATAAATAAGGTTGCATACAAAGAAAACTAAAGAGTAAAATAATTCTCACTTCTAACATTTGTTACTTATAATAAGAAGATTACATCTCATATAAATAATCATCATCTATAATCATTTCTATTATATTTTGCCTCATCTAACTAATTCCTAGATTCCTCTTAGTGTAGTTGCCACCTTAATCACTTGCCCTAAGTCTTTATTGTTTTTTGACCATTAAGAGCTTATTAAAGTTAAACTCTAAATAGTGGCAATTAATCATAGGTTTGATAATTTTTAGCAATTCTAACATCATTAAGTTTTAGAGCCTTCTTTTCAATTATTTCATCAAAAAAAATATAAGTTTAATTTAAGTTGATAAGATATGGATAGTTTTGCATTCATCTTCTTAGTAACTTTTCTTGAGATGTTATTTAATAAGACACTAGATGCTTCCATTGATTTTGAAGATGTTTGTTTTTTTTAACACAATTGAGAATAAAAATCAAAACAGATGTCATGAAGTTTTTGGCAGCTTTTTTGAATTACACCTTAAAGATTTTTTAGTACTATGATAATAAGTTTTTGATATTGATTCTTGACTATTTAAAAAAATAATCTTTAACATTGCTTACTTACACATGTTTCTATCTAATCTAAGAATGGATTTGTTGCCTTTTTTGTTGCTTTTCTTATTGATACTCATAAAACTAATTAGGTTTAAATATTTTTAAGGCATTTGTGTGTATTAAAGTCTTAATGATTAGTATAAAGAATAGAATAAACATGTTGTAATTACCCTTAAAACTCAACGTGGTATTTTAGTCTTAAAAATGCTTGTTCTTCATAAAAAAAAATAAAAATAAAATATTTATAGAATTGTGTAAAGATCCTCATTCTATAGATAAAGCAACATCTAAATCTAAGTTGAGTCTATATTTCCTTAATAACTCCTAAGTCCTTCAATGTGTTAAGGTAAAAAAATATTTATGTTGAAATTGGATGCTCTAAGTTTGGATTTTTAAAGTTAAATAGTAAACTTAATTGGAAGATGATTTGATAATGCATTGTCTTGTCTTATCTAATATTTTTGGATTTGGTTTCTTTGTAATAAATTAGTACTAATGCAAAATGTATCTAATTTAAGAAGGATATGAATTCTTTCATGTTTTTTTTTCTAAAGGTAGTTTAGGAGATTTCCATGTTTAAAAGCATCAGCAAAAATAAGACAAGATTTAAATAATTTTAAATTGTTCTTGTTAGCTTAGAAGATAAGTATTTTGCAAAAAAAAAAAGATTTATAATATGCATAATTAATTATGTTTTAATCTTTACCAAAAATATAAGGAATAATAGAAGGTATAAATTTTACTAAATTAAGCCATATTTTGGTTCTTTTTAAATATTTTATTAGAAGCATAAATATAAATAATACTAATAGAATTGCTAAAATTATTTATATTCATTTCTATATTAAAATTATAAATTTTAATAAATAAATAAGTATAATTTTCCTTAAGAAATATCACAACAAAAATCTTCTATGCATACAAATTTTATTCAAAGTATTTACAATCTCAAATTTAATTTCATAAATATCTTTTTTTTGTATATATAAAAAAATAAAGAGGATATTTTAATTTAATCTATTGTATTTTATCTTATTTATTTATTTTTCTTCTTTTATGGTCTTCATGTAAAAATTATATATTTTTGATAATTTTTTCCTCTCAATTTACGAATAATTATTAATAAAAATAATAATAATGTAGAGATTCTACAAACAAATCTCCAAGTCATGTTGCATGGATAAACACAATCTAATCGATTATCACTTGTAATAGGTCCAATTTGGATGGAACATTTTATTAAATGCGTACTCTTCTTAAGAATAAGAGTAATATATAAGTAGTAGGCATTAGACAAAACCCATCTTATAAATTTTTAATACTTAATAAAGTGAGTATTATTCTAAAGAGACTCTTAAATATAATTTAAATTGATCTCTAAATGGAACACATTCTTAATTTACATATTGACAGCACTCCTAGCTACTTTAGGTTTTACTACTATTTAGTTTAACAATCTTCATAATTTTTTTTTGATAACTTACACCTTTCTGAACTGCAATTTTTCTTCAACTACCTTTTTGTAAACAAATCTAATCAAACTTCGATTAAATTTTTTTAAAACCTACCCAACTTCTTTATTTGGTTGAATATTGATTTCACATTTTTTTTCTAACCAACACCCACTTCGAATGTCCAATTTGAAGATTGATTATCGGTGGTTGAAACGAAAAAAAATGAGAAAAACAAAAGAATATAAGGTTTGGAAATCTAAGATAACGACTGCCCTAAATTAAAGATCGAAAAGAGAACGTAACCCTAAAGGACGGTGGAAAATATTACTAACATCGTTTCCGAGATGCAGGCTGAACACCCGCGGCGATGCGTATCATTTGAAGCAAGCATTGCGGTAGCAATTCGATTCAAGACCCACCAAATTCAAACGCCGTTTCGACATACCCACTTCTCGGATCTGCATTCGTCACAGATCATGGCGATGTCTATAACTTATGATCGAGTCGAGCTGGTCATTGGTGGCAATGCAAAGAAGTGCAATGCCACTGCTGCTTCATTCGGAGGACTGATCTGTTTCAAACAAACCCACTGTCGATGCACCACATTCGGTCTCCAATGTCGGCAACTCTTTTGTGATCAACTAGAGGCATGTGCTTCGATGAGCGAAGAGCAATTAGCAACAAGAAAAGCTGCCCCACATTGTCACTTACCTTGGCCATCTCCAGACAGCGATCCAAACCATCCAGGGAGACGTTGTGCCTCAGAAGGAAGGTCGGATTAGCATGTGGGTACATTCATTGCAATCAATACAAGCGGGTGGGGAGTATCAGATGCGATTTTCGACAACTTACCGATCCTCGTACACAAGGTGCGCCTTCGTGACAGGGGGTGTACATGCTCTGACAGAGGGAGATGCAGCAGCAACACAATAGTCGCAACAGTTTAAAAGGAAACCCTAAACGCGCTGAAACTAATCCCAAACTGATAATTCATGAGTTGGGTAGGAAAATCTTGCATCGCAGTCACGGCAGCGGAGAACTACGAACCTGAATGGCTGAGCTAGTTGGTCTTACTCCGAAAGCTACTTCGATGACACTTACTAAGAAAGCTCAATGGTTTTTGAAACGTTCACTGCTTCTAGAGACGCTTCTGACCACTCTAACGTGCCACACATACACTTGTAGAATTGTTATGCTGAAAGCCGAAACCGTGTGCAATGTGTCATGAGAAACCTAGAATGGGGGTTTAAGCTGTGTTCACAGACCAGGTGGAGTTGATGCTTGGCAGTCGAATGAGTGATACAAGTGTCACCATTAGAGTTGATTGGGGTAACTCGACCTATTTCTGTCTTCCGCGTGTTAGGGAGTAATTGGGTATGTCGGAATCCTACAACCCTCGGAAATGAATAGGCCTCTAAAAAACTGACGACGTCAACGGCCAACGTCTCAAAATCTCTGCCTTTTTGTTTTGCTTCATTCTCGGGTTGACTCACACTGGTTGGTTGACTTGGAAAGTACCTCCCGAAATTCTGCTGGGATCTTTGTGAGTATGAACCCGGCTGCATGTCATCGCTTGCGGAGTAGAGCGAATCGAAAGCCAATGTGGGTCACATGTTCGCACTCGTCTGGCATGACAACCCAATGCTGTGAAGACTTTGAGATGTTATCTTGGGGCCCCACTGCAATGGGTGACTTAGCTTTTCATTCCATTCGCTCACGTCTACATGAGTGCTTGTTTAGGTTTGGAAGGTCTTCGGTAGGCGAGAGCTTGTGAGGTGATTTTCTTTTTGTATGTCTTGCTGTGTCTTTTAATGCTGTTGTGCCGCGAGAGTTGTGTCTAATCTGTAGCTTCTGAAGAGAGTATAGTGGAAAGTCGCACGTTTACAACAAGAAATTTAACTAGAACTATTGCTATTTTCTTTTTCTTTTTCTTTAATTTTTTTTTTCAGATTTCAAACAGGATCATGAGCTGTAAGCTGCCAAGTAGAGTTGTTGAAGACGTAGACCCTTGATTTTGTAAGGGTTGGTGCACAAAAGTTTGCTTGTAGGAATTTTTTCAAGATTAGTGCTGGGAGAGATGTAGCACAATTCTCGTTTTTGTTTTGCCTGCAAGATTGAGGCTTGGAGACGTAGGGTTTATCTCGCTTTTGTGGCGAAACCGGGAGTTCTGACATGGAGGAGGGCGGAGATGGGGCAGAAGAGGCAGCGCCCTCGAATTTTACAACTCGACCTGCACCACAAAAGACCCAAGTTGGTACGTTCAACTTATCTTTGTGTTCCTGGCACCCCGATTTGAACGCTGTTGAGAACTTCAATTTACAGTGCAGTGCTCCAAAAACACAGTAAACCATTACTCGATCTGGGTACACCCAATGAATGAGGCGTTCGTACGCTCTCCGTGAGGCAAGAATCAGGGTTTAAAAGAATTGTACATCTTTGAAGTTATTAGTGGAGTATTTCTGGAACGGGTACCCTCATCCTTGTCTTGAATTTCCACAATAATATCAAGCTGGATATTGAAAACATACAATTTCTAGGAGAAGAGTTTCATAAATTGCAAGGTTTTCCCTCTTCGTATTCATTACTAGCAGAGAATGTTTGGGTTCGGCTTAATTCTAGGAGGTCTGTTATATGAAGTTATCAGCGAATAGTTGAAGTGTTTCTATATAGGTTTTGTAATCACCAAGGTGCTCATTAATGCACTGCAGTATGACCAGTTTGTGATTACTTAGAGGCATAGGCTTTAGAAAATTAATAGCAGCAAGAGTGCAATGTCCGCTCTCACTTGAGTTTCCTCATGATTGTATTACTCTCAGTCTCTCGGAGATGGTCTCATGCAGGGTCGGCAAACGTGAAACTCCCTGATCAGATGAGAAGAGAGAGTGCAACCATTCCAAAGCGTCTATACCATGCGGTATCCATTGATGAAAACCAGAAGATGAAGGACTTGAACAACTACCCCAAGAAAAATCTTGATTACAAAGACGATGCCGGAATCGCTCGCATGTCAAGCGCTACCATGGTGGGCATCCGGTCCTTCTTGGACACGTTTCCGTCCAGGCCCATGGAAGCCGATGCTGGAGCCAATATACAGCAAGGGCCAATTGGAGGTGTCAAATCAGGGCTACAAGGCTGGGATAGTGACCTCTTAGATCTTCCTATTGGGGAGGGTGGTCCACCCACGAAACGAAAGTTGTGTATATTGAGTATGGATGGTGGTGGCATACGGGGGCTTATTGCAGCACGTACATTGACTCGTTTAGAGAACCTTATACAGGTGTTCATTCATTTTCATCCATTAAGTCGTCAAATTTTTGCTCTTTCTGAACTACGAGCCTTCAAAATTGTGTGGTTCTGAGCTGTGATGTATCTCTGTGGACAGGAAAAGCTAGGGTGCGAAGAAGTGCATTTGAGTGACTATTTTGATTTGTTTACTGGCACTAGCACCGGGGCCATTTTGGCCACTATGCTGGTGGTACCGGATGAGAAGGGCCACCCTCAATTTTCAGCGAAAGGATGTTGTGAATTTTACTCCAAAAATGGTGAATACATTTTCCGCCCACGGTGGTACGACCCCTTTCACGGCTCGGTGCGGCAGTTCTATAGACCCAAATACTCGCCCAGAAGATTTGAGGATCTGCTGAAGCAGCACACCATCATGAAAAACGGAAAGGTGCTCACCTTGGTGGATGCTTTAAAACCACTTCTGATTACCTCCTTCGACATTTCAAGAGCCACTCCATTTTTCTTTGTTCGCCAGGCTGCAGCGAATGATCCGAGCCGTAACTTCACGTGAGGCTTCTTTAGCTTGATCAGCTTGCCGTTTGCAATACACTTCCAATCCCGTATTGGCATACTTTACTGTAAGATATCCTCATTATTGACAGAACACATTTCGAACAATTATACTCTCTACAATTCGTTCCTTTTCACTCTAACCATTTTTGTGGGATTTCAGTTTATGGGAAACTTGTCGTGCAACGGCTGCAGCACCCACGTACTTCCCGCCTGCATTTGTGACTTCTGTTGATGGCAAGTTTTCGGGTACTATGATTGATGGAGGCGCTATTCAAAATAATCCGGTACAAGCCCTAATGCTCCTTTATTCTTAGCAACTGCCAATGTTGAAACAAACCATGTGATATAGAACAATCACAGATAATAGGGTTCATCTGTCCATGTCAAGTGTTTCTTTTGTTATGACAGGCATTGGTTGCGACAACCCATGGATTGGCTAACAACGAAGATTTTCCATATGCAACGAGCCTCAACGATGTCTTGGTGCACACACTTTCCTGATCATCTTCCAAATCTCTACTGTGTTCAATATTCATGTGAATTTAGTTTTGCTCAGTACTTACCGTAAGTTCCTTGAAGTATTACTCTCAATACACACAAGGTTAAGGTTTGTAATGCTAATGTTAATATATGGATACTCTTGTTGGATTGGCAGATATTGTCTTTGGGGGCTGGACAAGCAGACAACAAGCACAACCTGGAAAAGGCGAAGAAGTGGGGAATGTCAGGCTGGTTGCGGCCTCTTATGAGTATTATGATGGACGGCACCTCTGGTGAGCATTGTCGCATAGCCACCCAAATTATTCATATCAATTCATCATCAAGCATACCCTAGGAGAGAATGTCCTTTTCCCTAAGCGATGCATTTGAGATCACTGAGAGAAAGCCTTGCAGAGATTCTGATATTAGAAATGTTGCATACTGATCAAGGATCTCACATCATCATTTTTATTCAGATACTGTGGACTATCAACTATCTGCCGCTTTTGCTGGGCATAACTGTGCTGAAAACTATCTGCGGATACAGGTGAAACTCCTTGCCGTGTCCTTCGTGATGCCACATGAGTAATTTTGCATTTTACTACTTCATTTAATCTCTCCTAGTGCTATAACATGTCATAGTTCTTTATTGTACGGCGAGATATTCTAAGTTCGGTGTTCCTGGAGTTTCTTTTGTTGAATAGTTCATTGATACAAAGTGGTGTGAAACAGCTTTCTGGACTTCCAAATAAGACCGCACTTATGGACTGCTGCACACCCCAGAACATATCAGATTTGATAAAGTGCACTGATGAGCTGCTACAGAAGAAAGCGGTCATGCGGAACGAAAACGGGGACAGAATCACATTGGAACAAACGTTTGATGAACGGCTTTCCTGGTTTGCAGATCAACTGATAATTCAAAAGAAGCTGCGGGAGGAGCCTCCCAAGGACCCCTCCTTCTCTGACCACTCGCTGCCGCCTTACAAGCAGGACGTGATGGGTCCCCAAGGCCAAATGGTCTCCCCTTTCTTCGCCCATATGTTCGAGCATCACAAGGACTTCGGTGGGTCGAAGAAGGCAAGGTCTTTCAGATTCTAGCCCATCTTTCAGATCCATGTGTTGATGATTTTCATGCCTATTTACATGATACTCCGAAGTCAAATCTCATCCTTTCATTTCATTGGCGCAGCTCTCGTCGATGTAAATAATTCGACTCTCTTGTCCCGATCAAAGCTGCTGTTCATTGCATAGAGGTGGTTTTGTAGAATGACAGATTAGTCAATTGGGTCTACTCATCTATTTGAATTTACAGGCTCATGTCTCCGCTAAATATAAAAAAATTTTGTATACTATCTAGAACAATGACATTTCACTGTAACCTTGGTGGAGATTGACTTCGGGAGTCTAACAAAGTCTTCTTGAGCGTGCACCCCATATACGAACGCTCTTCGTTGCTCAGTCTCGTGCACGAGATAGAACTGAATGTGGAGCTCTATCATCCTGTAGACTAATCTGCACACAGCACGAATGTGGACGATTCTCAAACTAACTACTTTCAACTTCACCTTTCTCTGCTATTTCCACCATAAAATTCTTGATTTGCCGTCTTTCTTCCGAACAGCTTGTATTGGCTTGACTTTCACTGTAGCAACGAATTTCATTTTCCTTTTGTCAACAATGGGTATTGTATCTCGTGTTGAGACTTCAACTAGTCAATTGTCTAAAAGTGTTTCCATCTCTGGAGCTGAGCCCCAAAGTCAATGATTGCTCCCTGAGCAAGCTGTTGAATGACAAAATGGGCCGGAGTTGTAATACGTTAATGTCAAAAAATTCTAAGATGGGTCGAATTATTGTCACACAAAAGCAGGAGTTCCACCCTTTTGTCGCCATTTAATTAACTCGCACAATCGTCTCTTGGATTAATGCTCCGCTCATTCCTTGTTTTCTGCATTCTGAATATCTTCGTCGTGCATGGAGGGATCACACAATCTCGAACTGAAAACTCCACCAATAATTAATTGCAGTACAATTCAGCAATAGTTTTGTACATTTTTACATATAGTTTCAATTTTGCTGAAAAAGAGCCTCCCAAGGATGTGTAAATGGTAACCACCTAACTAGCTAATATGCGCATTATATAACGTTTTTGCAACTTTTAATTTTGTTGTTCGGCAAGGTTTACCATAGATTTGTTTCAAATTTTGTTTGTAATGGTTTAAATGGTTATCACTTGAAGAGTTATTCCAAAATATTGATATAACAAGAAGAATCATTGGATATTGAATTTATTGTATATTAAATATATTTGTTGCATACTATTATGAGTTAACAATAAAATGTTCTTGTGATTTTATTTGTTAAAAATAATAAAAATTGCAATGGGAGAAAAAACAAGGAAGCAAAAAAATACAAAAAATTCAAATAGATTATGTCATTTTTGTCCAAGAAAGTAGATTATTAATTGAGTTTTTTTTATGTCTTGCTAATCCTCTAAGAATTTGTTACATTGTTCATAATAGCAATACAAGTTGGCATTGCTTGAAGTTTACTCATACGCATAATTATATATGCTATAATACAATGCAATTGTTGATGCTTCATTGCTTTTTATTTCTAGTATAATTGATTGCTTATAACTTTGTTCAGCAATTGCGTTCGAGGGAAAAAGTCAATGGTTAGAAAGAATATTTTAAAAAAAAATTATTTTAAGAATAGGCATCTTTTTTCTTTTTATAATTAGAAACATTACTTAATTGTTCTTAAAAAAAATTGTGTATAAATCCAGAACAAGGTTACAAAAGTTAACTTTTACACTTACCACATTCACTAATGTAATTATAAGACATTTAGACTTAAGTATTCAAAGTATATTAACTTGTATATTATGCAAAGTATACAAGTTAATAAATATTTTTAAAAAAATAAAAAATTTTGAAATAAATACAAATATGTGTATATATGTGTATGTATATATATATTTTGATGTTTTTCTTTATATTCATATCAATAAAGAAATAAATAAATACTTACAAAAGAATTATTTTATATACTTGAGTATGTAAATTATTAAGATAAGCATAGTTTTTGGTATTTGATTAAATAATTTTTATTATGTGATAGAAAAATTAATATAGATTAAATTAATATTTAATAATTTTCTATATTTTCAAATATAGAATAAATATTTACAGATATATCTATATATCTATATATATATATATATATATTTCTCTATTATGAATGCAGTTTTTCAATGTTATATCAAAATTATGAACCATAACTTTTACTAACATTTATACTTCAATATTCAAAAGTAGAAATAAATAAGAATTTGTATGTATTATAAATTGAATTATTTAATACACAAGTACATTTTTTTTTCTTAGAACTAATTTTAAAAGTACTACAAACAAAAACTTTTACCAAGACACCAAGATAAATCATAATAATTCTAACAAGTTACCAAAAAAGTACAGTAAACATAAAATATATGTATATATTTATTGGTAAAATAACTTTAAGAAAATCAATAGTATAATTTTTTATTATTAATGTCTACATCTTGATAATCCATGATATTTCTGAAGATAATATCAGGCAAAATATTTAATAATTTTAAATAATATTAAGAATAATAATTATTTTTTAATTATTTTTAAAAAGAAAAATATATATATGCATAATATTGTTTAACATATTTTTTAATTTTTAATCAATTTTTCTTATATAAATGTTATTTGATTTTAGATAGTTACTAAATATATTTTTCTTCATTTAATTACCTTTAAAAAAGAAAAAAAATTATATATGTATATATATATATATATATATATATATATATATATAATGGTGATCAAACCAACAATATTGATGTTAAAGCCATATTTTTAAGAACAACGTGAAAATTTAACTTAAATTAGTAATATATAAGTGCCTTTAAAATAATACTTATAACAAACACAATACCAATAATACTGTAGAAGGTTTTGAAATTTTATATCTAAAGATTCTTTTAAAATATATATATATATATATATATATATATACGTATTCATATTTTGGTATTTAGATTCCTCAAATTAGTACTTTTTTAGTTTTTTAAATCAATAGGTAAGAATATATAATATTCAATAAAATAAAATTAAAATTAAATTAAAATATGAATATTCGTTGCTATTAGCTTACATTAATATTAATAATCATTTTTTAAAATAAATATTTTTTCTATTTATATGTTTTACAAACATTTTAAGTTACATATGATTGATATTATTTAATTAGAAATAGTATTAATATGAAGCATACATAGACATATTTAAATACCTATTGTTATTATTTAACAAATGAACATATATATATATATATATATATATATACACATACACACACACAAAGATATATTATCATCGAATCTTATATCTTTTATTTAATTTAAATATGCTTCGGATTTTATGTTTAAAAATTATTAATAATTTTATATTATTTTTCTTTGAGTTTTTTCACTATAATTATAGTTAAATATATGAAGTAGAATAAAAATAATTTTAAAGAAAAGTGATTTTAACAAAAAAGTTAACTTAGAAATCATATGTAGACATGCTTATCTTTAATCTTAAAAAATAATAATAATAATAAAAAAATATAAAATTTGATTTAAGTTTGAAAATTTTAAATAATTTACATGCACCACCTTTCATTTCATTGAATAACTCAAATTTCAAAAATACATATTTTTTCAAAAAATGAATATATATAAATATTTATATATATATATATATATATACACACACACACACAAAATTGATACATTGACTGGGGTTTTTATTAAATTGACCAAATTTTAATCACACTATCTTATTGTATACTATATAATAAAATACTTTGCACACATATCAATTTAATGATATTGTGCTAATTTGATATGTATATACGTAATCTGGGTAATGTGGGCACATGTCAATTTAAGAAAAAGATTATGTGTTAAAATTATGTGGTACACAAAATGATACTGTGACCAAAACCCAGTTAACATATCAATTCCCACATTTCTATGTGTATCTATATATATATATATATATATATATATAAATAGTTTTTATCAATGATGCCTCTCTGCACAAACCCACAATTGCATCACCAACAATCTCGTACTCACTCTCCAGTCTTCAATTCCCAGGCATGAAGACCCCCCCCCCTCCCCCAGCCCAAGTGGATTCTCACATCTGCAAATGCTGCCAAGACAGAGACTGGGAAGCTGATGGGTCTTATGAAGACCCATAGTGGAGACATGTCAAGTCTCAGTTAAAACCCACTAGGGAATACAACCTGGCAGGCAGAGACTCTCTCTCTCTCTCTCTCATTCAGACCAAGACCAGGAGAAGAAGAATCCTGGTGGGGCCTCCTCATTTAAGACTGGATAGTGCAAAATAACTGGCTGGGCTGGACTGGGTCTCATTCATTAAGACCCAGACTTGGTGGAATCTATTGTATGGGTCTCCAAGGCTGCAAGGGAGTAATTAATCAATAGCAACCGCATACATACATACATACATATATACATATATATATACTACTCTGGACGGGAACAGGTCCTTGTCTCTCTCTCTGGGCCAGCGGTCATGAGACCCAACAGAACTCAAGCGAATTGTGAAGCTTTTAGTAATAATATCATCTACATTGGACACACTCATATATATATATATATATACATGTATTTATAAATAAAGGGGAATAATAAATAGACCCAAGTTTTTACAAAATTGTTCTACCCATCATGAAAAAAACAAATGTCCAGATTCATTTCTCCATGCATGTTTGTATTGTGTTTTGATTTTAAATAATACAACATTTTTTAAAAATAAATTCACTCTTGTCTCATTGAAGAAGAGAGAAAGTAGGAGAAAAGACATAGATTTAAGATAGAAGAGAATCAAAACAGATATTACTAAATACAATTATGTTAAAGAGTCTTCAACAAAGACCAAATATAAAGAAAAACATTGACAAGATTGAAGATGGTATCACTCTAGTCTCTGTATATTAAGTACCAAGCAGCCCTTGTAGAAGCTTCCTAAGAACCAAAGACTTGTGGTCTAAATGTCAAGTCATATAATACTTGCAGCATAGCTTCTTGAAAGTAAGAAACTTATGTAACAAATTTGAATAATCATGTGGCTTACTTTTAGAAATTTAAAGATCTAATATGCTTGGAGAAAAAATCTTTATAATTTTGTAGGGAATAGTATATCCACCTAACATAATCTACCTATGTCTACTTACTTTTATTTACTGAAGTAATGTGGACATTTGTTACTTCAAGAAATTTTTTAATTTTAATGAAATCTAGAATAAGTATTGTCTTATCTAGAATAAAAAAATGTTAAGTTTTTGGTCTTGTTAAATCTACATTGTCCTTTCTAAATGTTGTCAAAATAATAAATATATTTTTGATAAATAGGATGTATAAATATAAATTAATCATTTTCAGTAAAAAGTACCAAATTTACTCTATTAAGCTATTTGTAACTTGATGAGATTTAGTTTCTAAAATGTAATTGTATTTATGAAGCA